AATCTATATAAAGGGACTTTCAGATTGATACCCTAGCATATAGATGAACCCTTGGAGGCCAATTGTCGACTAAAGGTGCTGTTGGAGCGTGGGAAGCTACGGAATTAACCCTACATTCAATTTTAAGGAGAATCAAGTCAAAATCAAGTTTACTCTTACCTAATCTCTTATTTGAACTATGTTTTTACCAATTGATTTCGTTTTTGTGCTTGTTTCTGCTGTAATCATGAGCTAAAAACTCATAACTTCTGTTTAGGTAGATGAATTTGTGAACATGGATTGATTATTTGATTAGGATTAATTTTAATTGGTGATTATGTTTTATTAAGCTTGTTAAAGAACCTTATGTGTTAACAATAACTATTCTTCTGTTAATAAATTAGTAATTAATTTGTATGAACATCTCTTAGTTATTAATTTCATATGATTTATTGTGACCACATAGTTGTATGTCTAGGAATAACGAATGTGAAACTAGAATTAACTAGAAGATATGTAAGTTAATGTGTGAGATTGTTTGATGAACATCAGCAAGAGGTTAATTGAAGGGCCAATTTAATTAACCATTACAAGTCTTATTTAACCCGAATCAATAACTAGGAAATTCGTTAATTTAGACAACTGGCCACTGTTTGAGTTAATTTGTTTCCTAAGGATTAGTAATAGCAAACGTGAAACTAATCATCTTAGTCGGTAGCCAATGAAGAATTAATCCGATACATTGAAATCATCCATGGGAACAAATGAGTCGAACCTAAACAGAAGTCCTCTTTATTATTGAATTTAGTTGATTTTTATTTGCTTAGCCCTTAGTTTCTTAGTTTAAGTTTTAGTTAATTGTTTAAGTCTCTAGTCTTGCAAAACTAGAGAAAACCCCCTTTTTGTTATTTGTTTTATTTAGATAATATTAGCATTTATTTTAATTTTTTACCGTTCCCTGTGTTCGATACCCTACTTGCTTGAACTATATTACTAATCGATAGGTACACTGCCTTTCGTGTGTTTATTTTTGTGTCTAAGTTAGTAGGATTAAAACTAGTTTGTTTCACACACATCAATGATAGTTTGTTTTATTTACTTCTTTTTATAGTTTATTTTAGCATATTTCACTCATAATTTAGATAATTTCCATGCATATTTTCCTTTTTGTTATTTTATGACTATTTCGGGTACTTTCGAATCTTGTGAGCATAATTGCAGGTTTTCGGGTCTAGCGGAGTGGGAGTGTTCGGGACGTATGGATAGCGATAGGATTTGGTAGACATAAAGGATGTTAGGCTTGGTGATTGTGGAGATGATGCATGGAGCGAGCTTGATGATTATTTGAAGGCTTGGAGAGAAATAAACTTTAAATTTGCAAGATGCAGGAGTTTTCAAGCGTGCGTATATTATTAACCGGGCGAGGTTGGAGGATTTGGAGAGGCCAAATTGGGCTTAAAATGAAGAAAAACTTGAAGAAAATGGTCTAGGAGGTGATTGGATTCGATCTGGGCTAGTGGAATATGTTTTGGAGGCCCAAAAACTCAAAGAGGCCCATGTCAGGCACCACTCGCGCAACCTACCCGCGCAACAGCACGCTGGTCGCGCAAGGCCTTGGAGGGGTAATTTCGGAAATCCATTTGGAAGGCTATTTGAGGAAGGTTGGTGCCCATCTTTTGAAAACTCTTAGACATCCGATTTTTGAAGATTCTCTCTGGAGTTTTGAAGACTTTTGAAGGCCAAGAACACCTCAAGAACATCATCTTTTTACATCTTGATTCTTGCTTAATGTTTGGTACAATCTTCTCTAACTTTGTTTCTTTGAGTTTAGCCATGCTAGACTTAACGAATCTTGGTTGAATTTTTGTTGAATCCTTTGAACTTTTGTTGAATGTTGAAGAATCCATGAACTTGTTCTTAAATCTTTATGGAAATGTTTTGTGTTTTATCATATTATCACTACTAGTATGTTTTTATTCATGAGTTTAAATGTGTTTGTGGTGATTAGTTGGCTAATTTCTTGATTAAGTAAAGGATCCTCAGATTAGCAAGCAATAAATGATTTTTGTGTTGTTTTTGCTTCACACAATCTTAAAAACATTTCATCCAACATGGTTGTGAAAGCATTTGACCCCTATTGGATTTGGTGACTTTTTGGTTCTTAATGCTAGTTGACTTTCACTAATTACATGCTTAATGGAAATTGTGACTTTGACTGAGGAAATTGTTATGAGCTTCTCTAAACATTTTAACAACTAAGAAAAGTCTAGGTAATCTCAAGCTTCTTGGATTACTATAGCCAAATTAAGGATTTAAATCAAGTATTGCACCATTGGATTCTAATGATATGTTCATCAAAAGTCAAAGTGAGGAAACCTTAAGTCAACCATCCTTCTCTTATTGATTTTACATCAAACTCCTACTTTTGTTGGAATTTTTTATTTAAATCTTAGTTTAATTCTAGTTTATTTCAAGTATTTCAAAAGACCCCCCCCCCCCCCTCTTATTTTTAATGTTATTTTACAAGTATTTTTACAAAGAGATTTTTCATAGAGTTATAAATTGAACCAATCTCCGTGGATTCGATCCCTTTACCACTATACACTATTTTAGTGTGTAAGATTTAGGGTTATTAATTTTGTTGGCCTCGACAACCACCACTCCAATCGAGCAAAAAACTTTTTCATCATAAGAATCAACTTGAACTCCTTTTTCTTGAACTTCAAGAACATCAAGAACATCTTCAACATGATGATCATCATCAAGAACACGTTCCCGAGCTTCACGAAGATCTGCATAATATCCAAGTCTATGGCTTCCAAATTTGCATCCAACACGAGGAATTCCTTTTATGACTTCTCCTTCTTTCTGATTTCTTCGTCTCTTTTGATATGTTGTAACCAAATGATCAAACAAATCATTGGTTTGATAAATTGGACAACTAATTAATTCTCCAACTTCATTCTTTTCTCCATTTACAACGAGATCCCTTTCACTTTTCAATCCAATAGTCAAGCTATAAAGAAGATATTCAAAAGTTCATTCACTTTGAAAATCTTCAATCTGTATCATCCATTTCTCCATCATTGTGTATTTACTATCGAATCAAATGATATGAACTTGGGGTTTCTAGAGAGAGAAGGTGAAAATCAAGGAAATCTCTAGAGAGAGAAAGTGAATATGAACCAAATTCTAGTGAGAGAAAGTGGTACAAACAAGTATTCTAGAGATAGAAAGTCGAATTATGGATCAAATTAAGGAAAAATTCGACTTCTAGAACACAAAACACTCTCAAAACACGAAGATCAATAAGAACATGAAGAATCACCAAATCTAGAAAGCCATCAAGGATCAATTCTTGATGAAATCAAGAACACCCGCACTAATACCAATTGTAGTGGTGTTGATTATGATGGCTTGTGCAGAATTAGAAACGATCTAGTGAATCATCATACAAACTCAAGAACACATGGAGTAAATAAATCTTGTCATTAGATCTAGAAAGAACATACAAATGTGTCTTGTAAAAATTTTGTCTCTAGTCTAACACTCCAAAATGATCATTAGATAGAATGAGTGTCACTCACTTCTTTATAAAGGAAAGACAACTCATTACACACATACAAAGGAGTAAAGCACAAAATACATCCAAGCGTGACTTTACACCCTAACATTGTGATATATCTCCGAATCAATTCTTGCTCCGTGAGGGATGGAAAAAAGGGCCTTGAGAATCACATCAAAGAAAACAAGACCGTCAGTCGTCGTTCGGGAGGATGTTCCAGAACGATAACTCAACTATCAAGTCAGTTCATGGTTTTGATGAGAGGGTGTGAAAGTATGAGACCAAGAGTTAAAGTCGAATGTTGGTCCCTTCTCTTGGAGGAGAAGAGACCCTTTTATACCTGGAATCGGGGGCGGGGGACAGAACCCCGAGCATATCTTCTACTTTTTCAGGTCCGGCAGGGGCAGACGACTTCTGATTGGTAGATCGTGTTCCGTGCGTAGCTACCTACTATTGGTGTAGGACTTTCAGGAGCGATGTTCTAAGTGGCACACCTGTCACTCAGGGGCGGCTGGTACTATTTTGTCTTGGCTCTAGCTTTGAAGCTTGGGCGCCAAGGAATGAGTCTAGGATTGCAAGGACGAGGGTGAGAGCAGGGGCTCGACATTAGGCACGCCTCGAATTTTGCTCAAACCGTTTGACGGTTTTGTTATTTATAATGTATTTTTGGGGGGATACGTCAACAAATACCCTGGGCTAGTAGACGTCAGTGTTTTCTTAGGGTAGCTGAGTAGTTCTAGCTAAGATCTGGGCATATGTTTGGTAGGAACGGTCCCTAACGTATAATAGAGCCGTTCTGGAGAGTCGACATCGCTTCGTTCTGTTTTTTCTTCTTCTCTTTCTTCCTTTTCCCTTTTATTTTAGGGTTCTCTACATTTAGAAGCAATTATATACTTCCTCTTCCTGTGATCCGCCGTCCCATCCTCTATTGTCATTTCTTCTCTTACCCATATTTTTTCTCTCTGGTTCTTGATGGCCTCTGGTAGATCTGTAGTTGTTACACCCCGAGGAGTTCGGGTCTCTTCAGTTCTGATTTGGGTTCATGCATGAGCATGGAGTTCAATTCCTTTTGGAAGGGTCGACCATATATCAACCACTAACCGGGAAGGTGGGTATTCTGATGGCGGTCTTTGAGGACGGGTTTCGGCTTCTCGTTTATGGTTTCTTTGAGGAGGTTATGTGAGAATACGGTTTCTCTGTCCACGACTTGACTTCGAACGTTGTGAACAAGATAGTTGGGTTTGAATTAGGGCGTCGAGCGTAGGGAGTGCTTCCCCATCTTCAAGCATACCAACATTTATTCAATCCATTTACTCATTCGAGCATTCACACTTTCTCTCAGTGCCGTAATACACATTCTTTTATTGTTAACTAGAAAGAGCCTCAGAAGAACTGGCAGGATCGATGGTTGTAGGTTAACAGTGACTTGGTTGGGGCTGGCTATCCTCGCGTACTTATGGCTTCGGATCGAGCTCCCCAGCTTTTGGAGGCCGGTTTGTCGGTGGCTCGCACGTTAAGCGGAATTTGTTTCAATGGTGAAGACAGGATGGACTGTGTATTGGCAACGGCCAGAATGAGTGCTGCTTGGCAGTCTCGTGGGAAGATGCCACGGTTTTATGTGGACAACGACGGTAAGTATTACCTTTTTCTCTCCCTTTCTCCCACTTTTTGCTTTCCTTTGCTTTTTAACTAGTATCTGTTGATGAGGAAGAGGGGGGTTCGTTGTTTGCCATTGCAGGTAGCGAGAAGTTTCTGTCTCTTGAGCAAGTGCTACGGGAGGATTTTAAGGGGGACCTACTATATCATGAAGTCCCTTTAGTGAAGACTCTGCTGGATTCCTCCAGGGTTATCCCTGTTTTTGAGGGCGATGTCCTTCCTATCGAGGTGGGGGGGGGGTCAAAAGATTAGGTGTGGCTAGTGGTAAAGTTGTCTCCCGTAGTCGATATGTTGCTGTGGATTCCGCCCTCGAGGAAGATGTCTGTGGCAGTTCTATCAGCCGACGATTGTGTCAGAAGCGCAACATTGATCCTCTGTTTTCTAAGTCCCCTGTTGTTATCGAGATTGCTGATATTGACGACCCACAAATGGTGGAAACAACGGATTTGCGTCGGCCGGGGGAGCCAGACGTTGTAGGGACTTACTCCATACCTCCCTTTGTTTCTGATGATGCCTCGTCGGCGTCGGGTCCTTCGTCTTTGGGTATGACTGGCGTATATCTCCATGGGTGGAGTCTCGCGTCCAATTCCCTTTTTTCGGAACAAGGACCTGCGTGTGAATGGTGCTAACATGCGTTTCCCGCGACTACCCTGGAGGATCATGATGCTCTTTCTTATTCTCACCTGGCTAATGATCTTTAATATGCTACTGCTCAGGTTGCTCCCTACTTGGTGGTAGATGTTGGTCGTCTTCGTTACATGGGGGTTGATTTGGCGAAGGTGGCTGCTGTTAAATCCGAGCGTGACGAGCTTGCAGAGAAGGTTTGGCTTCTCGAAGAGGAGCGACATAAGATTGATGAGCGCTACCTCGTGCTGTCAGGGGAAAAAACTGTTGTGGAAGCTCAGGCGGTGACCCTAGATGGGGAGGTAGATCTGTTATCCCAACATATCCAAAATTTGGTATTGGAGAAAGAAGCATTGGTGGAGTGTTTGTCACTGTGAGACAGTCAGTTCGCTTCTGAGGTATCGAGGAGGAAAATCTTGAAGGCTGATTTAGCTTGGGTTCTCTAGACGAGATTGGTTCAGGTGGTGGACCGTGTTGTTAAGAGCAGTAAATTCGTGCTTGGGATTCGTCGTGTGAAGGCCGCATGCATGGCTGCTGGCGTAGAGATGGGAAAGCAGGTGGTACGTGCATAAGCGACTAGTAATAGCCCTTGCTCCTTTGGTCCTGATGTTGTGGCTCAATTTATTGATGCAATGCATGTTGCTATTAGGGCTTTTTCGAGACAGATTTCATGTCCTACCTCCGTTTAGGTGAGCTCGGCCTTGTTGATCTTCACCAATTGTGCTCTGAATAAGAGGAACACGTGCCAGGCGGTGACGTTGGGGGCACTGGTTTGACTCAACCTCGCCAGGATTAATTCATATTTTATTTTTGTATGTTTGTTGTTTTATCTCTCGTCTTATGCACTGTGTAAAATGTTGTTGTATTCGCTCTTGTTGTTTCTTCATCACTAATGTTTGCTCGTTCTTATGAGCTTCTTTATATATATATATATATATATATATATATATATATATATATATATAAAACATCCGGAATCCCATGTATATTATTTCATGTGTTTAATGTTGAGGTTTATTGAGTGACTCGACGAGTTGTGAGTCGAACTCGTCGAGTATAGTTGCGGTTTGCCACAAGGGATTGACGAGTCCAAGATTCGACTCGCCGAGTAGATGCTGAGTGGTGAAACCCCAAATCCCCGGGTTTGGGACCTATTTAAGGGCACTTATAGCCTTATTTGCGACTCACCTTCACTGAGAGTAAACCCTAACATCGTTTTGAGCTAGAGAGTGTGAAAGGAGCTAATTTTGGGGTCTTTTGGTACATTTCTTTTGAAGAGGAGGGAAGGATTCATCAAGGAGCAAGAAGGGGGCCAGTGGATCAGTGTTATTTCGTCCAAGAGCTTCCGAAGAAGGTAAAAAGTTATCACCTTTCTCCTTGTGGTGATTAGATCTCATGTTTTTTATGAATAGGGCTTTTTATCACCTTTTGTTGAAATATGAGTACATGGAGCCCCTTTCTAAGTCTAGAATTCAGATCTATACCTTGTGAGGTCCAGAGGGTCCAAAGGCTCAAGCTTTATTCAGTCACTTAAAGAGTTATTGTGTTTTGGTACCTTTGTTGGAGTTGTGATGGCATTTAGAGCAATATATCCCTTGCATGGTCATAAAGATCAAAACTTTACGTGACTTTTGGACCTTAAGAGGCTAGATCTTGGTTTTGGAGTAATGGATATGACTTTGAACGTTTGAATGGGAAATTTGATTGAGTTAACTCGCCGAGTCCAAGAGCTGTCTTGACGAGTCCGTTCGGGTCCGTACCAGTGTTCACGGCCAAGCGATAACTCGTCGAGTTGTGGGTCAACTCGACGAGCTGAGTGGAACCTTCACGAGACTTCTGAGGATACGAGTGGACTCGACGAGTTGCATGAGTGCACTCGACGAGTCGGTTCAAACAAGGACTGTTGACTCGAGTTCAACTTCTGTTGACTTTCGGGTTGGGTCAATCGTGAGTAATGGAGACCATAGAGTGGTAAAATGGTAATTTACCCACTTCTTAAGTAGAGAGAGAAAGAGTAAACTTTGGGTTACTTAGAGTTGAGAATTCAAGTATTGATTAGAGATATTTACCTTATGTGTTAGGTGGTGGCTAGTTCGAGATTCAAGTATGAGGATAACTGCTTGCTTGCTTTGAGGTGAGTCTTCTCACTATACTTTACCTAGAGTGGTACTTATGTGTGACTAGAGGGTCTTATGTGCTTTCATTGAGTATTGTGATATCTTGCCTTATGTTTTGTGAATCATGTTGTGCATTATATCTTTGTGATTTATGCTGTATATTATGTTGAGCGTACAGAGTTAGGACCGGAGGGTCTACCCGAGTATGGGACCAGAGGGTCCCACTGAGACACATTGACCGAAGGTTCTTACACTGATATAGCCTCGAGTAGCTAATGATTAGTGTGTATGGTGTTTTGGGGAACTTACTAAGCTTTGTGTTTACCGTGTTCTGTGTTATGTGTTTCAGGTTTTCTCAGGATCACAAGAAGGCACCGACTTGATTGTACACACCAGTGATAGATTTATGTTTTGGGGATTTTGGGTTTTAATCAAACAATTAGGGAGTCGCAATTTGTAGATTAAATAAATGAGATTTTTGTGAAATGTGTTATAAGAATATTATGATTTTAAATGAAAATTTTATTCGAAAATTTACGGTGTTACAATATATGTATATGTTTGGGAGGGGTCTCCCCGAAGAGTATTTTGCAAGCCTTGTTTTTGGCTCTTAAATTTTGCGTTCGCTTAAGATGAGCCGGTGTCATCACCTCGAGGCTCCCTGGACTTGTATGTGCCCAATTTTCAGGGGAAGGTTATGATCCTTCGGATCCTTTGGGCACGTTTGGTTTAAAATCCTGGGGGCTTTATTGCTTGTTTAAAATGATGTATACTTGGGAAATTATCACTTTCTGAGGTTTGTGGTTACGTGTTTTGGGGTTGTTTTGCTCAGACAATGTGGGTGTTCAGCATGTGTTGTCGTTTGGCAAGTTCGTGCACCCCATTTTTTTTGTTCTTTGCGTTTGTATTTGTGTTTTACATACGCGTGTGTGTATATTGACTAGTAAGGTTAGTCTACTATCTCGTAAAACTTTATTAATTGGAAATTTTTAAGGATAACTTAAACATCTTCATGAAAATCGTTTGACCAAAGTGTGGCTTTTAAGCTGGAGGTTCGAGCGTCATTACCCCCTCCTCTGGTTATGCTCTTTTACAGTTGTTTCTACGAGTAAAAGTGGCGCAGGTTGCATGCATTCCAGGGTTTCGGTCTCCCATCTTGTGCTTCCAGCATGTATGCTCCATCCTGATGCGCCCCCACTATTTTGTAGGGTCCTTCCCAGGTTACACTTAGCTTTCCCAGTGGCTAGCCTCGTTCTTCCTCAACACCTATTCTCCTACCTTGAAGTTCTTTATGCGTACCCGTTTGTTGTAAAAGTTTTATGTACGAACTTTGTAGGCCGCTTGTTGCAGTCGAGCAGCTTGGCGTTTCTCGTCTAACATGTCCAGGTTCTGTCCTCGTTCAGGCCTTCATCGAAGCCGGTTACCCTCAGTGATTCACTTAGAATCTCGAGAGAGAGCACCACTTCCGTTCCGTATGTTAGGCTGAAGGGTGTCTCCCCATGTCTTGACCTCATGGCGGTGCGGTATGACCACAACACTGTTGGTAACTCTTCTATCTAGACCCTTTTGTTTTCATCAGGAATTTCTTGAGTCCATTCACGATGGTCCTGTTTGATACTTTAGTCTGGCTGTGTGCCTGAGGGTGTGCGACCGAGGTAAAGCGATGCTGGATCCGCTTTTCCTCGCACCATTCTTTGATGGGGCTTCCCTCGAACTGTGTGCCATTGTTGCTTATT